CTGAGATTAATGAGAGTACTAGGCTAACTATGGAATTCGGTCTCCCTTAACGTTTCTAAACAGATATTTTTTTTCTTTTCAGAGTTGTTAAATGAATAAGCCAAGCTGCCCTGAATAAATATCAAAAACGAATTGATTAGAAAGTCGACAAAATATTTCATAAATTCTAAATGTTGAAAATTAGTCCAAAACGCCGGATAAATGTCGGCAAAAGACATAGCGACCTTGTTGTTTCCACCATAACGGACGACACCAAGATAAGCAGTGTATTTATAACATTAGTGCATTCACCAAAACCACCTGAGCCGATTCTAGTCAGCTCCTAATATAGGAACCCTCTGATCGCGCACGCTTGCATAGTCGTCCTATTTAAACGAATATATGGTTTGTACTCTAGCACAGAATTGTAAAGAAATGAACGTGTACACAGAGAATTGTCATAATGGCAACCACTTTTCTTATCTCTCTAAGATCGAACAATTTTATATTATCGTCTTTAAATACCATCCTGTACTGAACCTAAAATTAGCACAAGAATACAAAGTGTGAATTCCTTTACCAATCCCGATAATCTACCTCGCTATTCAATTTTCAACCAACTGTTTGTATGCGAAACAATTTTTTTCGAGATTGTCGGTTTACTAATTTTTGCAAGAAATCCAAAATCAAGGATTTGTACAAGAACTTAGTAGTATAAAGGAAAAAAAAAGGCACAATTTGTACTTTATGAAAACGCGGATTGATAGTTTTGTTGGGATATTTCACTTAAGGCTCATTTCTGAGCAATTATTACATCGAGGCGAATAGTCTCACATGTTGGACAAACATTGACCACAGGCATCCCATCTAGCCAATTATATCAAGGAATCCATCTGAGTGTTGAGCTCACCGCTTCTTGCGAAAAAAAAAATTGCCACGGCTCAAAAAAAAATTTTCTGAAGAACGATTTTACCATCAAAAGTCTTAAAAAAAGATTTAAAAAGCCGTAAAAAGGACTTAAAAAGACCAACTGATCACTTAAAATCGTCAAAAGCATCTTTGTAAAGTAACTGCTTAAGTAAGTTGAAGATATTACAGCGAAAAGCAGTGGGAGAAAATGCAATCGGCATCTTTTGAATGTGACTTCTTGGCGATTGATCGTGGAAAATGGTTTCCTTTTCAATCTTTAAAGCATAGCAACACATCGAAAATACAATCATTAAAAGAAGTTTTTCTT